CAGTTATCTCACCCCTTCAATAAATACCCCTTCATGAAATAAATTCTTACACCCACTATAACAATAAATTCTTACACCCCCTCATGCAATAAATTCTTACACCCCCTCATGAAATAAATTCTTACACCCCCCTCATAAATTCTTACACCCCCCTCATAAATTCTTACACCCCCCTCATAAATTCTTACACCCCCTCATGAAATAAATTCTTACACCCCCTCATGCAATAAATTCTTACACCCCCTCATGTAATAAATTCTTACACCCACTCAAACAATAAATTCTTACACCCCCTCATGCAATAAATTCTTACACCCCCTCATGAAATAAATTCTTACACCCCCCTCATAAATTCTTACACCCCCCTCATGCAATAAATTCTTACACCCCCTCATGTAATAAATTCTTACACCCCCTCGTAAAATAAATTCTTACACCCCATCATAAATTCTTACACCCCCTCATGAAATAAATTCTTACACCCCCGCATGCAATAAATTGATTTGCCCTTTCAGAACTCAAGACCGCAATCAATACAGATATGTGTGGCAAGTCTCTGCTATATTTGTCTACCCCACATATCATGCTTAGGAAATTCTTAATGTATATTATCTTGACTGTAAAATCAATAAAATTTAATATGTTTAACGGCATAATAGAAAAAAATAGATCGCGATGGATGGGGCACGTCCTTATAATGATATCAGAAGCAGTGGCGTAGCGAGGTCGGGTGTCACCCGGTGCGGCACTTAATGGTGTCACCCCCCCCCCCCCCAGAGGCGCAGCGACCCTTCCCGGGGACAAACTTTCAAATTTTCGATTTGCATCCCCCTCAAACTTTCGATTTGCACCCCCCCTCAAGTTTTTCTCTATATATATTTTGCTATTTTTTGCCTTGGTGTCACCCCCCCTAAATGGTGAATGGTGTCACCCGGTGCGGTCCGCACCCCCGCCCCTCCCCCCCTCGCTACGCCTCTGACCAGAAGACAACGCAGGAATGGCGCTAAACTGAACTCCTCAAGGAAAAAGAAAGCCAGGAGAGACGAGGAAACAGCTGACAGAGGCAGGACTGTTATGAGGAACTGCCAAGAAAATTGCCGGAAACGGACAAAAGTTGAGGGAGATTTCTGTGGCTGCCCCATGTGTCTTATATAGGGTCCTAAGGCTGTTAATGGTGAATTTTACTTTTTTTCATCCTGGGCTTTTGAAACACGGTTTATGGCACAATACTTGATACCATCCTCACCACCATCTTCACCACCATCATCAACACCATCATCACCACCATCACCAGAACCATCGGCGACACCATCATCATCACCATCATCATCACCATCATCATCATCACCATCATCATCACCATTATCACCACCATCATCATCACAATCCTCGACACCACCATCACAACCATCATAACCACCTTCCTCGACACCACCATCATCACCACCATCATCAGAACCATCGTCGACACCATCATCACTACCATACCCTACACCATCTTCGACGTACGTGCATACCAGCACGCCAGTCCTAACCCAGCACCAGATCAGGCATTTAATCAGATCTGTTTACATCACTCGACTAGTATCCAATAAATATGAATGGAGCCAGCCCAGCCGTGAGATGGAATATCTTCACTCAGTTTCAACCAATCCACGACCGTCTTGATTCCTACACTCAACTAGCATCTTAACCTGCTTACTCTTGACATATTAGCAGCTTGAGACTAGCTTATCCAACTCCCTGTACCCAGGCTAGGTGGAAGTGTTCTATAGCATGTAAGAAATAGAATGACAGTTCGAAATAAACCCTATTTCGTTCAAGCTAGACTATTTATAGAATACGAATTGTGGTAATCAGAAGTATGCTTAATCTCTCCAAAACATGTTCTAAATCAATCCTTAATCCTAACCTAAGGCTTGATCCCGACCCCGAACCTGACCCTGATCCAAACCCTAATCCTAATCGTAACCCTAATCCTGACCCCGAATGGGGGGGGGGGGGGTAGTGTCAGAGTTAGTGAATGACCGAGGGTTATTGGCCGGGTGGGTAATATCCTGCACAATATAAAAAAACGATGTATTCGAAATTGCTCCTAACGATGGTTTAGACTGACCAAAACCATATTAATCACACGTCTGTTGTTTATGTTATTGACTGTTGGCATATCTAAAGTAATATAAGCTAAGATTTATATAACTTATAGTTAGTGTGTGGGGTTGCTACAAGGCTACACTGACAGTTTTTAAACAGACTAGATCTAGTAACTTGTTGTGTATCCATAGTTAATCTTAGTGTTCTGATCAGGAGAAACAGCTATTGTTGGTCAAGTGTAGTTATGACAACTATAATGGTAGTATTTAGAATGCTCCTCCAACTGCCTAGTGTAGTATCAACGACATAGTTAACTATAAGCTGCATGTAGTTTTTTATTTGTCCTGGCATTCCGCCCCCGCATGTTGCAATTACTCCACTCTGTTGCTCGCGTACACAACATTTCTTAATGCAAAATCGCCCCCCCCCCCCCCCTACACACACACACACACACTTGAAAATAGTCGCCCATTCCGTCGACTCCACCCACGCTTATGCCCCTTGCATTTGGCTATTTATGAAAACAACGCCGTAGTGCTGGGGGCAGTCGACAGCTGACCGGCGCTAGCTGCCCTTCTTTAGTACATAGTGCCAGGAGTTCTCGGCCCCTGCTCAATTTTCAGAATAGTTTTAATCAAGAAAAAACTGTAGCTGTAAGTCTAAATAGTTTAAAAATAAATTTAAGAATTATTTATTTTTTACAAATTGCTGTGTTAACTTTCAAAATTATAGTTTCTTAGAAATGATTTGAATATTTCTGACGTAAATATGGGAATATTTTTAAACAAATTTATTTTGTGATTTCTGTCAAGCTTGGTTCAAAGATTTTGGTGAGTTGGTTGGTTTTAAGATAGTATCCTCTAAGCTTAAGCTAAAATATTTGACTGTAATAAATTTGACTCATATGACAGCGTCTGATAGGTCTGTAGAACCATGGCAAACATCGTCCCTTTAGCACATAAACAAGAAAAATATTTTCCCACCGTCCAAAAAGCAGACTCAACACTATTAACAGCAACTGTTATCGCTTCAAGTCTAACATTGTTTATTTGTATTCATTTTAATTTAACTCTACTGTAATCTTATTCAATGTTGCTGCTCTAAAATACGTTGATTTTTACCGTAGCACATTAATCTCTTCAGCCCTATTACAGCTCACTTGTTTTTGATTACCTCCTTCAATAATATATAACAAAGTTCCTATAATCCAACAAGGTTGGATTATAGCATAGTTATGATCCTTACATACAGAGTTTCCTCTAGGCATCTCCTCGGGAAATGGAATTTATATAGAAAACATATACTTTTACCAGTGTCACTCCCCCCCCCCCCCCCGGAGAAAAAAGTCTGGAAGAAATAATGCTTACATAATACGCAATGCCCAGACCTACAGGGCAGATAGTTCTTATAAAAAAAAAGTTTCAAAATTGTGTAATTAAAACCGTTCTTATAAAAAAAAGAAGTTTCAAAATTGTGTAATTAAAACCAAAACTGCTTTTATATGAACTTATTTTAAAATTTAATTTGTAAAGATTACAATTAAAAACGGTTTAGAAGTATAGAAGAGGCAAGAATAAATATAAATTAACCTATTTCTAGGACGTCAGCGTATATAGGAAATATGTGGTCCGATTTAAGATCAGCCTCTACACTAGATCTATATCCGACACAAAAAGACTGGGAGTCACATTACGTAGGCCCTACTCAAACTTTGAGATAAAATTCCACACTTTCCTACGACATTTTACAGTCACATATTCGACCGAATATCTACTGTACCTTTCGTATGTATGCATGTATGTATGCTGAAGACAAATATATTGCATTAAATGACAATGCGTCTAATTAAACTCCTAATAAAGCTGTTGTTCCAAATGAAATATATGGATTACCAAAGAGAAATGTTAGCATGAAAATCTTACACAGGGATGAATCGTTCCTTAACACAATGTAGAAATGTAAGGATGGACAATATTACACAGGAATGAATCATTCCGTAACACAATGGAGAATTGTAAGCATGACAATCTTAAATCATCACAAGGAATAAATCATTCAGTATCACAAAAGAGAAATGTAAGCATGACAATCTTACATCGTTACAAGGAATCTACCATTCTGTATGACTAAAGATAAATGTAAGATAAAATAAATTCAGAGTACTTTATTTACCGGATGCTTTCTTTTCACCGTAAGTTGTGTACTGGATGTTGTGTGTTTTCTGGATGATTTTTACGGTAGTTAATCTACAGAGGCGTCGCGAGGCGAGGGCGGGGGGTGCTGACTGCACCGGGTGACACAATTTAGGGGGTAACACCAAGAAAAAAAAATACAAGATATATTGAATAAAAGTTGCTTTTTATTTTTATTTTAAGAACAAATTTATGATCCCGACAAGCGGTGGGGGAAGGGGGGGGGGGGGTGACACTATGAGATAAACATGTAAACTATAGAGAAAACAGTGTTACACCCAGCTGTATTAACAACCGACTATAGATAAACACCATTCGTATTAAATGTGAACGCTTTAAAGCTTATACCGGGAGGGGGTGTAAAATAACTTCAAAATTTATAGTGAAAAAAGAGAGGGGTGACACCATGAGGTGCCGCACCAGATGACACCCGACCTAGCGACGCCACTGTTAAACTACTTGATCTATTGTATTCTTATCAGTGTAAATAATTTGCTGGATGTTCTATTTCCCCAGAACTCCTGCGGTACATATAAATAAACCCCCACAGGAATCAACAAGAGAAATATACCTTCACTTTAGAAACGACAGAAATTGAAATTTATTGAACAAGACATTAAACAAACAAACAAATACACAAGTAAGCAAACAAACAAACAAGTAAACAAACAAACAAAAAAAAACATACATACAAACAAACAAACATACAAACAAACAAATAAACAAACAAACAAACAAACAAAAATTGTGCAGGAGGGTCGCAGAATTCTAGGCACCACACCATGGGCAACTGTTTAGAGGTGTACAAGGTCACCCTGAGGAATACTTCCGGTATGTGCTCCCCCACCCAGGAGGAGAAGAAGCCCTACCCCATCTGTAGCCAACACACGGAGCGTAAGGCCATGGGCTTGCGCGAGGGGCTGGCCCGGAAACGTCTTTGTGACGACATCAAGCCTCCTTCAGAATCCCAACTCAAGGCTTTAGAAGTAAGGTTACTGATACGTAAAGTGGCGTCGCATGGGGGAGAAGGGAGAGGGCAGTTTGAAGATTGTAATCCTAATAATTTTATCAAAGTTGCTTGTGCTAGACATTCTTGAACAATATCATTCTCAAAGACATTTTATACGATGTTGCCTTATTGTAAATTGGGTCATCAATGTAGATAGTTGCAGTTGGTGTACCCTACTTAGCACCTGTTTTATGTAAACTAATTACCTCAACCAGTGTTAAATTAATCAGTTTAATTATTTGCTTTGTCAAACTACTTGCATTAATGTTTGATTTAGACATATATGGCGGCAGTTGAGCGCTATACTGAGAACCCGTAAGTCTCGAGTTCGAATCCGGGTTCAAGACAGTAGAACATCCCTAAGTCCAACCGAACTCACTAACTTATGTTAGGGAAAGTAAAGGCGACAGGGCATAGCACTGACCACACTATCCCTTCATGTGTGCCGTCATGCCGTCAGGTTCAAAAATGAAAATTTACATAATTATAGGCCTAATTAGGTTGGGTTTTTTTCGCATAAGATGGTAACCACTATTAAAAACGAATATGATTATATTACCATTTGCCAGGAAAGTCTGCGAAATTTGGAGGGTATGAACAGCCCATCGGGGCTGGGCACTACAACCACAGTCGTGTTCTCAGTCAACAATCATGTAGGACACCTGGCGAGCGCCTTAAAAATATTCCAGGTAAGAATTAAACTTATATAGGCCTATATATATATATGACTATATAGATGGCTATATATGTATGGCACCCCGTCAAAAGAGCGCACGAGAAAAGAGCGCCGACATAAGAGCGCAGACAAAAGAGCGACGGCATATATATATATATATATATATATATATATATATATATATATATATATATATATATATATATATATATATATATATATATATATATATATATATATATATATATATATATATATATATATGACTATATATATACACTCATATATATACACTATAAATACACACTTACATATATATATATATATATATATATATATATATATATATATATATATATATATATATATATATATATATATATATATATATATATATTAACCATCTATATAGCCATATATATTTAGTCATATATACATACACTCATATATATATGTATTATATATATATATATATATATATATATATATATATATATATATATATATATATATATATATATATATATATATATATATACATATACATATATATATACATATATATATACAATTCTTTGCCCCTTGTGCCCTGGGCATGACCGGAAAAAGATGATGATGATGATAAATTTCCCCGTGTTACTTTTGCATATGCATGGCTTAGCATGTTATTGATTTTGTGTTAGGTAAAACTAACACTTTCCCCATTAAAAAATCCCTCAGGAAAATAAAATTAACGTGGTCCACATCGAATCCCGGAAGTCGAGGCGCGCGGACGCCCTGTACGATATCTACGTGGACGTGGAGACTGACCACATCCGGTTGGAGGAGCTGGTCAACCGTCTGAAGAGGGAAGTTGCCAGCATCACCTTCAATGAGCTCAACATCTCCATGACGCCGCCAGCGTTAACTAAAAAAGGTTTCTGTTCATTCTGTAACATCAGGCAGGGGACGGACCAGTGTTTTTTTCAGACTTTTTTCTCACGGGGGGGGGGGGGGGGGGGGCTTTGAAAAAAAATTGTGAGCGGGGGGGGGGGCGATCATCATTTTTCGGGGGTGGGTGGACGACACACATTAGTATTATTGTATGTTTACTATATAACTATATAAAATCCATCTCGTTCGGGGGGGGGGGGGCGGACTGTTAACCCGTAAGTCTCGAGTTCGAATCCGGATTAAAGTCAATAGGATATCCTTGAATCCACCCGGTTCTGATGGGTACCTAACTTACATTAGGGAAACATAGGCGGCTGGGCAATGTGCTGACCACGCTATCAATTCATATGCCGAGGTTTTTGAAGCTGATGAACTCTACTTCATCTGCCCCATTTGTCTTGGGCACGAACGGGAAATGATGTTGATAACATCAGGCACGGCTCCTTACTTGCGTTGTGTGAAACAAAATCTAAACGTTCCGTTTTGAAATCTACGCTTTATGGGGGCAGGTCAAGTAGAGTTCACCTATTTCAGTGATCTCGGAATATGAAAGGCAGTGGCGTAGGCAAGAGGGGTGGGTTAGGGGGGTTATAACCCATCCCATGGACTCGCACTCATATATATATATATATATATATATATATATATATATATATATATATATATATATATATATATATATATATATATATATGATTTGATACATATGGAACAATATTTGAACCCCTCCCATGACCAATTCCTGGCCACGCCACTGATGAAAGGACAGTGTGGTCAACACCATGCCAGACTGTCCTTACTTTCCCTAACATAAGTCAGGTACCCATCGGAGCTGGGTGGACTCAGGGACGTCGTGCTGACTCGAGCCCGGGATCTAAACCCGAGACTTTCGGTGGAGAAGTTGAAGGCTCTACCCTTTGACCACACCGTCCCCCTTTGCAGATAATTTTTACCATTCTGAAATTTGCATGAGTGGTTAAAAAAACTGAGAGGCTGATATAAATGTACTTACATTTAAAAAAAAAAAAAACCACAACACGCTTTACTATAGTTAACGACACATTATCACATAATTATTTTAATATTCTAATATAAATAAATCTTCTAATTATCTAAACACCATTGTGTAAAGAACGCAAAATATTTTCTACTCTACACATCTTTCAATAAAAATTAATGAATTTATTGATTAATTGAATTTAAATAAATGGACTTTGTTTAGATTGACCGTGGTAATTATGTTTTAATTGATTTTTTAGACATTTTGTGTACATGCTGTATTAGCCTTGCATCAATTTAGTTTTTCTTTTTTTTTTTCAAAATCATAAAATCTGTTTAAATTGTCAGTATTATTTGTGCAACGATGTCCTATAAAAGATCTGACTATTTTGACCAATCACAATGCTTTATTTTTTAAATGCTTGCAGCCTGCATGGAGATGGTCCCATGGTTCCCCCGGAAGGTCTCCGATCTTGACCACTGCGCAAGTCACGTGTTGATGTACGGGGCTGAACTGGACGCCGAACATCCGGTGAGAATGATGGGATATATTAAATATTAATAATATAATATTAATTAGATTTTAATAACATCTATTGTGTGGTTAAGTATTTAACTTAAAATAAACGTAAGCCTTTTCATTCAAAGAGGTTAAAAGCAGTTTTAATTTCCTTTTATTCGTACACTATATATATATATATATATATATATATATATATATATATATATATATATATATATATATATATATATATATATATATATATATATAAATATATACATATATATATATATATATATATATATATATATATATATATATATATATATATATATATATATATATATATATATATATATATATATATATATATATATATATATATATATATATATATATATATATGGTGACAGGACAAATGATCTCAGGACAAATGATCTCAGACAAAATATCTCAGACAAAATATCTCACGGACAAATGATCTCAGGACAAATGATCTCAGGACAAATGATCTCAAGGACAAATGATCTCACGGACAAAAGATACCAGGACAAAATATATCAGGACAAATGATACCATGGACAAATGATCTCAGACAAAATATCTCAGACAAAATATCTCATAGCTAAATTTTAATAGTGTATTGGATGATTTTAGCTAATCTGAACATTTTTTATTGACTGTCATATGGTATTGTTTACTATATTTAATATTGTTTATAGGCCTATATAATAATTTTTAGGAATGTTTGCCGCATAAATTTGTCATATTGCACTAAAAATTTTAAAATTATGATTACTAATATAGTATGTGAAGATTAAAGAAATATTTCGATAGACAGCGTAGGTGGGCTTGCCAAATATGAGACAATCCTACCATGTCAGGTGGATGAAACTAGATCAAAGGGAATGAAATAACAATAAAGACACACCTTCGTATCAAGGTGGCCGCCCGCTTTGATGGCAGAGACATGCCTAAGGGAAAGACATCCGCCCTCCATGGACAATACAACAAACATCTAAAGTAAATAGTTATGCGTCGGTCACACATTAGTGATCAGGTGACAAATGCTTATTTAAACGACAGCGGTCATCGCGGAGCTAAGTTTGTCGGAGTGTGCATGAAAACAAAGCAGTATTAGTTGTGATAACTCAATTATGGCTTCTTTCGTTACCTCGCAGAAATGTTTTAGGACATTAGTTTCTGGTGAATTTATGTTTATAAAAAAAACATAACTTGAGCAGCAGGCAAAGATATTTGGAAATGTGAAGTTAGAACATGTCAAGCAAGAGTATACACAATACATGATCACATTGTATTGGAGAGGTGTGATCATAACGATGTAGCCTACCTGCCAGCAAAGAAACTTAAGCGTTATGTTTGTGTTGATGATGCACTAAGAATAAGTTTTACGTTACGAACCTAAAGACATGTTCACATTAAAAAAAAAAATCACTATAGCTACCATTACTGTATTTGTTCTATACATTATCATTAATTACATCTTTCAGGAGTAAGTTTGTTTTAATGTTTACCCTTTTCAAATCAAATGCTATTAAAAATATTACGTTTAATACATCTTTTGATACTTTGTTAAGTTTAAGAAATTCATTTTAATCACAATTATTATGCGTAAAAAAGTAAACAAAAGCCATATTGACAGACAATTGAAAAACATGTTCAAATCAACTAAAATCATCGTACACACTATTAAAATTTAGCTGTGAGATATTTTGTCTGAGATATTTTGTCTGAGATCATTTGTCTATGGTATCATTTGTCCTGATATATTTTGTCCTGGTATCTTTTGTCCGTGAGATCATTTGTCCTTGAGATCATTTGTCCTGAGATCATTTGTCATGGAACCATATATATATATATATATATATATATATATATATATATATATATATATATATATATATATATATATATATATACGTTTAAAAATATCAAGAATCTAAATATTATTCTTTTTACTTTCTAGTATTACGTTATTTTGTGGTAGCTAGTTATTTTAATTCCCCTTCATAACGGCGGATTAAAAAAAATTATTTTTTAAGTAATTTTCCCAACGATTTGTACCGACATCATGTAGATATTTATTTTCTGTCACTTTCCCCAGGGATTTAAAGATACCGACATCATGTAGATATTTATTTTCTGTCACTTTCCCCAGGGATTTAAAGATACCGACATCATGTAGATATTTATTTTCTGTCACTTTCCCCAGGGATTTAAAGATACCGACATCATATAGATATTTATTTTCTGTCACTTTCTTCAGAGATTTAGTACCGACATCATGTAGAGATGTATTTTCTGTCACTTTCCCCAGGGATTTAAAGATACCGACATCATGTAGAGATTTATTTTCTGTCACTTTCCCCAGGGATTTAAAGATACCGACATCATGTAGAGATTTATTTTCTGTCACTTTCCCCAGGGATTTAAAGATACCGTGTAGAGATTTATTTTCTGTCACTTTCCCCAGGGATTTAAAGATACCGTGTAGAGATTTATTTTCTGTCACTTTCCCCAGGGATTTAAAGATACCGACATCATGTAGAGATTTATTTTCTGTCACTTTCCCCAGGGATTTAAAGATACCGACATCATGTAGAGATTTATTTTCTGTCACTTTCCCCAGGGATTTAAAGATACCGTGTAGAGATTTATTTTCTGTCACTTTCCCCAGGGATTTAAAGATACCGTGTAGAGATTTATTTTCTGTCACTTTCCCCAGGGATTTAAAGATACCGTGTAGAGATTTATTTTCTGTCACTTTCCCCAGGGATTTAAAGATACCGTGTAGAGATTTATTTTCTGTCACTTTCCCCAGGGATTTAAAGATACCGTGTAGAGATTTATTTTCTGTCACTTTCCCCAGGGATTTAAAGATACCGACATCATGTAGAGATTTATTTTCTGTCACTTTCCCCAGGGATTTAAAGATACCGACATCATGTAGAGATTTATTTTCTGTCACTTTCCCCAGGGATTTAAAGACACCGTTTACCGACAGAGGAGGAAAATTTTCACCGACCTGGCCATGCAGTATACACAGTGAGTGTTGACTCTCTTGGTATTGGTTCGATTCTCTTTGTTCTTTATCTCTCACTGTTTGTCTTTCATACTTTCCTATTCGTCGTGCATGTTTCGTCTCTTATAGTTGTTTGTTCGTTGTATATTGTTTGACTCAAGAATCGTCTCACACTCTCTCTCTATCTATCTATCTCTCTCTCTCTCTCTCTCTCTCTCTCTCTCTCTCTCTCTATATATATATATATATATATATCCCTCTCTCTCTATTTATCTCTCTCTCTCTCTCTCTCTCTCTCTCTCTCTCTCTCTCTCTCTCTCTTACACGCAATATCTTGTAGATGATTATTTTATATTTCATAGATTACTTGTTAATTACTGTCAGTAAAGCGTGGGCGTCTAGCTACCAAATGACAAACTCAAGTGCTAAAAGTACCTAAGTAATATTTTTGTGAAAAGTAATATTTTTGTGAAAATCAAACCCAACAAAGATAGTCACTCCTCTAGCTTAACTTTATCTTATGTACACATATTAATAGGGACGTATTTATTTAAGCGCCACTTTCACGCAAACAAGTAAAATAAAAACGATATGCCAATTTAAATTTTTAATTCATGTATCTCAAAATATTGTTATTGTAACTCCAGTATTTTAAGCACTAAAGTCTTTAAATTCTAGATAATAAGTTTTAACCACTGTTCAAATATGTGTACGAAAGTCAATCTCCGTGTAACTAAATCTTTAAAGACGGCCCAGTACTTGAGACAATGGAAGTATACATCAGGTTCTACTTAGCATCTTACACAAATATGTGCCAAAAGTCTAGCTTAAAACACCTTTTCGGTATGTCAAGAAGCTTCGAGGAAAAGGATACCTCTCACAAATACTCGTTGATGGTCTATCTGAAAATACAGTACTAATTTATAATGAAAACAATACCAGGAGCAGAGGGAGGATGCCATACACTATAATAGCTAGACAGAACAGCGACAACAAAGTTTTGTGTGGGTTTCTAATGATCATGATTCAATCGCAAACTTTTTACTTTCTCGTATATACGAAGTATAGAGAAAGTCTTGTAATCGTGCAAAAAAAAAAATCGAGATTTTTGCAAATCTCGACGTTTTGCATCTCACTGATACGGAAAAACATAATTTTGCAATCTTGTCCGTATGTCTGTGTGTCTGTGTGTGTGTGTGTGTGTGTGTGTGTGTGTGTCCGTGTGTAAACACGATAACTTGAGTACCGTTACAGCTAGGTTGATGAAATTTCATATATAAGTATTTTATCAAAATCGTAGATCCGTATCAACTTTTGAGCGATTTCCGACAACCGGAAGTGGTACTTTTTCTACTTTGAATTTTTCAAAAGCCTATAACTTGAGTACTATTTCAGATAGATAAATGAAATTTCATACGTAAGTAAAAGATCGAATTCTCTACCTTCTATTAAATTTTGAGTCATTTCCGTTGACTGGAAGTAGTACTTTACGCTACTTCCGATTTCTCAAAAAACTAATGTAAATTTTAAAAGTAATAATAATATTGCGCACTATTATGCGCTTTTTTATTTCGCGTTCACTTGGTGTGCAATTAATTTGTCTACGAGATTTTATTCTATTTTTAAAACTTTAAGTATTTAAAATGGATTAAAAATCATGTCTATAGCCCGAGTTCCCATCCCCTGTTATTTTATATAAGAATATTCGAGAAAGTTTAGGGGAGATCACTCCCGGTTTATTTGTATTTACACGTCATTTTACTTTCTCGTATATACGTAGTATAGAGAAAGTATTGTAATCGTGCAAAAAAAAAAATCGAGATTTTTACAAATCTCGACGTTTTACACCTCACTGATACGGAAAAACATAATTTTGCAATCTTGTCCGTATGTCTGTGTGTCTGTGTGTGTGTGTGTGTCTGTGTGTGTGTGTGTGTAAACACGATTACTTGAGTACCGTTACAGCTAGGTTGATGAAATTTCATATATAAGTATTTTATCAAAATCGTACATCCGTATCAACTTTTGAGCGATTTCCGATAACCGGAAGTGGTACTTTTTCTACTTTGAATTTTTCAAAAGCCTATAACTTGAGTACTATTTCAGATAGATAAATGAAATTTCACATGTAAGTAAAAGATCTAATTCTCTACCTTCTGTTAAATTTTGAGTAATTTCCGTTGACGGGAAGTACTAATTTACGCTATTTCCGATTTCTCAAAAACGCATCTAAATTTATAAAGTACTAATAATATTGCGCACCATTATGAACATCTTTATTCGGCGTTCGCTTGGTGTGCAATACTTTTTTCTATGAGATTCTATTTTATTTTAAAAAAGTTTATGTATTTAAAATGGATTAAAAATCATAACTATAGCCCGAGTTCCCATCCCCTGTTGTTTTATATAAGAATATTCGAGAAAGTTTAGGGGAGATCACTCCAGGTTTATTTAATCATACTATTTCTTTTAAATTTAATTTCATGTCAGTAGTTTTATGGGATGTAAGAAAGTGAATCTTGAAAACTAACATTTCCGATTTCAGATTTTAAGTTAAGTTTTTAACTGTATACCATATTTATTTTTTCATGTCCGTTGCTGTATAATATTTTTATGACTGGCCTAATTTTTGTACAATTATTTGCATAAATATATTCATATATACATTTCCTAATTTTTTTTAGCTCTGTTGATATAGCACAGTATAATTTTTCCGATAGTTTCTAACTTATAGAGGTTGAATAACTACGTAAACGATGGTTTGATCTGAAGTTTGGTCAATGTAACACTACTATAGATAAAAAGTCGATACATACATTTCTTATAAAATTCTTATTCTTTCCTACTTTACCCGTCTCCTTATCTCCCCTTATCGATACTTATAAGTGTACCGTACATGGTAATCGAACTGTTCTGTGCATGGTAATCGAATTTTAAAATATCGTCAGAAGCCATCATCACCCTATCAGCTTATTTCTACCCCCCCCCCCTCCCCCCTGATGACGTAAGAAACCGTCTTTTACAGAACGTTTTGTTTTATAAAACGCCGCCATCCTCCCCCTTCCCCCCCCCCCCCAACTGCCTCTCATACCGGAAGCCATGCAATTTGCAAGGCTACGTGCGCCGTCCACCGATCGCTTTTGTACAACGGAGCAGATGTGCTATTTTTGGTGGGCGAGAGAACACGGAGATTCACGTTAAAACTGGAAGAATCGCCGCCGATGGGAGCCGTGATTGCATTGGAAACATCTCTAATCCCGAACCCCGTCCCCTCCATTACGCATCGGTGACTTCTCATCAATATTCATAGGCCCTAATGAGCGCTGCCAGCGGTTCGGCGAATCATTGCGGTTCAAAGGTCAAATCAAGAAAGACAACCGGGGGGTCAAAAAAAATGGCCCCGCCCACATAGTGTATTAGACTTGATAAAAAAAAAAAGAAAACAAAACTCTATTTCAACTCTATTTTTTTTTTAAATTCAGGTTTTGTTTAGAGACACTGCCCAAAGGAAAGGCTCGCCAAATATTTTGCATAAATAAAAAAAAAACATAACGTATCTAATGTTATAATCTTCTTCTGTCTGTGGATGCTTTTGTTTCCTCACCCCCCCCCCCCTTTCCCCCCCCCCCTCCCCTCAAGTATTCTAGGAGCCGCCGCCATATCGAACAATCGCCGTTCCTTCTCGCATAAATTGGGTGTCCCGCTTCTCAGCTCTGTTCTATGAAAAAGTAATTGCTGACTCGAGCTTAAGGCAGGCTGACGCCGAGTAATTAGACCTTACCTCCTCAGTCTATCAACGCGCATAACGAGCTAGACGCGATTGTATTAGCCTATACAAAGAGTTCAGTCAGGCGCCTCCGCTTTGAATTCCGCTGCACCCAAATATCCATTCAGCGGACTCATCCACTTTTATTAGTTTATCCAGTGACCAGTGGCGGATTAAAGGGTAGGGCTAATAGGGCAGCAGCCCAGGGCCCCAGATGTTATCTCACACCCCCACCCTTAATGTCCTCAGCTGAATGATAAATTAAACGGTTTAAGTTTTTTAACACAAGGCTTGTTATAATAAATGTTTTAAACAAAGTACAGGCAGTTCATAGTAATAATAATTACCTGGCAAAGTTTGACTCCTAAATTGAGAACGACAATCTCTCTAGTTTAACATCAGCCGTTATCGTTTACCTGAAGCAAATACTACAGAAAATTGTCCAGCGTTTATTTCTGACACTAAAATAATAGCCTGGTTAAAGAAAAAATGAAAACTAAATATGATCAACATTCCTGACATTTCTTTATAATTGATCCCATTAACAACAAAAAGGATCAGATGGCGATGGGCCCTTTTGTGGGATGTAGCCGCTTTAAGAAAACGGCCACGAAAATATTTAAAAAAAACTGACAACCAGACAGTCAAGACACCTGTTGTACAATTGGCGTCTGCTGTTAAACTACTCGCTCTACCTGTCCAAACTTTGTAACATTGTAAAAATCCTTACATCGACCTATAATTTATTTTTATTTTTATGAACAGCGGCACTGAAATTCCCTACGTGCAATATACAGAAGAGGAGGTTGCAACTTGGTAAGTGAAATTCAATTATTTATTTATTTTATTTTTCACAATTTAAGAGGTTGCAACTTAGTAAGTGAAATTCAATTATTTTATTTTTTTTTATTTTTCACAATTTAAGAGGTTGCAACTTGGTAAGTGAAATTCAATTTTATTTTATTTATTTTTGATTTTTGATTTTTCACAAATTAAGAGGTTGCAACTTGGTAAGTAAAATTTAACTTTTTAATTTATTTTTACTTTTCACAAATTTAAAAAAAAAACTTTTATTTCTAGTTGCCAATGACTAAGTTAGTCCTAAAGATTTTCCTCCTGTATAAATATGTCCTTTGGCCGAAATTTTTTTTTTATTGATCTTTGACTTGCCAGGGGGACTGTTTTCCGTGAGCTGATGAAACTTTATCCGACACACGCTTGCAGAGAGTACCTGGCCAACATCCCCTTACTTGTGGAGCACTGCGGATACAGGTCAGTGGTCAGGCGCCATCTTTAACTGTCCCAAGCTTTTTTCACTTGATCTGAACTGTAAGCCAAATTCCGTATCACCTCTGTAAGCATATTCGATATACAGACTTGTAACCCAAAAACTATCTGTTTTATAAGCTAATTTATTTTATCTAAGATATTTTTCTATTCATTTAATTAGATTGTAAGCACGCGCACGCAAATTAATGAGGGAAACAAACTGGACGTATACTTTAACTGATATTTAAATTTAAAACTATTACTAATTATAAGGTACAATAATGAAAAGTAAGCGCAGAAAAACAGTCAAGCTGCTTTTTATCTCAATTATTATATATGTACTTGATACAATTTCTAGTATGTAAGTAAGAACAAATGTGGTCAGTTTGTTACCCTAAGGAAATACAGGCAGGACAGGATAATGTAGGTCCGGGTCAAGGTTTTAGGATCAGGATTACATTCACTATTGAGGTTAGGGATAAAAAGAGGATAAACCAAACAGGGTTAGGATAGCGACACACAAAAGTAACACAACATTACATATGTTTTGTAAAGAGGAGTTAACCAAACAGGGTTAGGATAGCGACACACAAAAGTAACACATTACATATGTTTTGCCGATGTTTTAATCAGGGCCCTTATGTTATTAATCCACAGAGAGGATAATGTCCCGCAGCTTGAAGATATATCAAGATTTTTAAAAGGTAAACGTTTTGTCTGTTCAAAAAATGTGTGTCGTTCTCAACTTTCTGTCTTTGCATATTTTTTTTTGCCTAATCATTCGTTTTCTGTTTACATTATATCAATCAGCTTTACCTCACATGTAATTTGATATCGATAACATAACCCATAACAGCATCATAAACATATTATAAAGAATAAAGTTTTCGTTTTGTGCAAGTTAAGTTTTAAGGTGATTGAAGTTTAAGGTTGTGGCATTGTTTGTCACTAGACTTGCTAAGCGAATATGATGTTCACTTCAAATCAACTTATTTATACCTATTTTTATTTGATGAATTTAAAACAAAATCTTCTATCTACCTCTACCCATGAACTTTTTCGCATTTTGTATAAAATGATTTCGGTGTCTCGCAGAACGAACAGGCTTCACACTACGACCTGTGGCCGGCTACTTGTCTTCTCGAGACTTCCTTGCCGGGTTGGCTTTCCGAGTTTTTCACTGCACGCAGTACATACGTCACAGATCTGACCCCTTCTACACACCGGAGCCGTGAGTACAGTAGGGGGGGTCTTTATGTCGTCAGCTTGGGGGGGGGGGGGGGCGTCCATACCTGACGTCACTTATCTAGAGCTAGGAGGGGGTTAAATTCTAACTATAAATACTTTGAGCTAATTGGGCAAGGGGCATTAATAAGATGTGATGTAGCTTACAACATACGTATTGATACATAAATATACTTATTGAAAACAAGAACGTAATTAAACTTCATGTACAGAAGGTAGACCTACCTGTTTATATACTTAAAATTACAGATGTTACATCTTAACAAGTCTTGTTACACGCACTAGTCCTCTGTTGGTGTCAGAGTGTTACATTCTAATACTGAAATGAAACAGCTGCATTCATGTATTTAAAGAGCCGTGCTTAGCTCAGCAAGCCCCGCATACTACTAACTAGTCTATAAATTGTGTAGATGACGAACCTGGAATTACATTAAAATAACTTAAACATGAGCTTCAGATGATTGTAGTGTATGGACATACAGTACACATTTTTCTTGAAGTTAAAATAAAATGACCCACGTACCAACTATGAACCGTATCTGTCAGAAGTCCCTGCAATTTCGCTCGGCCGCTTCGATCTAGACAAACTGACGACAGAGGAAGTGAGTTAAATAAAAGCTTGTAAAAAAAGTATATTTGTATTGATGAATTAACCTATTTAAAAAATAAGAATAAACGGATGATTGCTAATCTGTTACTTTTAAAAAATTAAAAAATAACTGAGCAAATGTTTTGACCCATACAACAGTGTTTTCATGTACCTACACGTTGTCATGGTAACCACCCACTGTGTTTGTTTGTTGCAGTGACTGCTGCCATGAGCTGATGGGACACATGCCGTTGTTGGCAGACTCCTCGTTCGCACAGTTCAGCCAGGAGATCGGCCTGGCTTCTCTAGGAGCTTCAGATTCTGATATAGCCAAGCTCTCAACGGTATGTATGTCGGTCATATATGGCTAATCAAGTTCTAACATATTGGCGGACATTACTAAGCTCTCAACGGTATGTGGATCGGTCGTGTATAGCTAATCAAGTTCTAACATATTGGCGGACATTACTAAGCTCTCAGCGGTATGTGTGTCGTTCGTGTATGGCTAATCTAGTTCTAAACTCTTAGAAAGGAAGTGCTGAAGGATAGGAGAGTAATCTATAAAACTACATGGCAATGTCATTAGAGAGGCTTTAAAGCAAAAGATGACGAACAATATTCTGAAAACGCTGAGTCGAAGGAGATTGGAAAAGTTCAATTGATCTGACATATTTACTAAAGAGGTTTGTTGTTTAAATGAGGTCGTGATAACTGTCTCAATTTGTAAGAAACTAAGAAAAACACTCTGCTACAAGACACAATTATTTCGACAGATTTGTTAACACAAAATACATTCTTCTAAATATAATCGCGCCCTCTCTACACCTAAATCTAAATCAGATTAGCACTAAGTTTACACTAACGTTGACCGTTTTAATGAAGAAAACAATACATCAATAAAAAGCGCTGATGGCAGACAAGGACAAAGTTGATCCAGTTATCAATACTCTCAGTGCGCATATTTGGGCTCTCGGCGTGTCTATGTTTACGTTAAAAGATGTTATTTTCATCGTCCATTCTTCATTTCCTTGATACCAAATTCACACCCCTGACGTACGCGTAAGATTTTGTTTTGTTTAAGATGAAAACAAAACTGTAGATTCACGATAGAAAATGATCTGATTATACAACGGCTAGGCTTATTAAGGAAACGGCAGTACACTCCATTTCCTGAATGGTGATTGTTGAAATGGTGCCTACGTGACTGAATCAAATTCTTCCGTCTAAGTTTTATTCGTAGTTATAGCTGTGTTCTAATCGCTAGTTCGAGCAAAAATGTGAATTCTTCTTCTGCTACGTTCTTGATTTTTAGTGTTGAAAGGGACCGAGATTTATCTGCCAGTGGGTTTGAACTCGAGACTTTCGAATTTATAAACCATAAGCTTTTTGCCGACTCGACCACGCCTCCATCAGAATTAAGGATACGTGTCAACTGGTTATGCGCCATTGAGGCCATTGACTCCGATTTCAGCCTGCTTTTCTTTTTGGATTTGCTTCCATAGCCTTTGTCCAACCAAGAACAAACTACATGAGCTTTACCGACTCGACCACGCCGTCCCCAATGCGAATTACAAATAAACTATACTAATACACTTGTCATATTTTGTGGTGAAAAAAAGTTTTATGAAGATTCAATGTACATGTAGTCATTCTTCGTTAACGTTTATAGATGATCGATTTGAAGAAAATAAATTCCCCCGAACACTTTTTTGTGAGCAGTTTCCGGTTGCGCAGTTATCTGTTGTGCATCTTTCTTGTCATCGATTTAAAAAAAAAAAGTGAAATTAATAACGATCATATTAAATAGAAATTTGAGCTTATTGGGATGCCTGGTGGGATGGTAGAACATACGACTGCTAAGCTGAAATTCTTGAGATCGAATCCCGAGTTCGTGTCCGTATCACGTCCTTTAGACCTCCCAGCCTTGATGGGTGCCTGACTCACTTTACAGAGTTTAAAGGCGGCTGGGCATCGCTTAAAGCACGTGTTTTTTAATTTATTTTTGTCATTTTTCAGCGCAACATTCACAAGTGAATCAGCTTATAATGTAATTTTACATTTCTCAGTGCTACATTCACAAGTAAATCAGCTTATTATGTCTTTTTGTCACAAGCAAATCAGCTTCTAATGTCCTTTTGATACTTTTCTCAGTGCTACTTTTTCTCCGTGGAGTTCGGCCTGTGCAAGCAGGATGGAGAACTGAGGGCGTACGGTGCCGGCCTTCTCTCTTCGATCAGTGAACTGGGGGTAAGTCATCTTTTGGTCACCTGTATGCAATCCGCCCCCCCCCCCCAACAACAACATTCCTAATTATATGCTAATATTTTTTTTTTAATTCAGCATTAAAGTGCACTAAAATTCAGGAAAAAAATACCACAATGCTTCTAATTAAATTAGTAAACTAATCGCTCCAGAAATAGTTCATTCATATATATGTGCAAATATTTTTTTATTCCAATTAATGTTAAGTAAAATACATCCTTTCTTATATGAGACTCGATGGAAAATTACTATGTGTATCTTTGATTCATTAAAAAAAAAAAACACAAACTCTCATCCTTAATGACGTGTTGAATGTAATTATATTTTTTGTCTTCTAGCACGCCCTGAGTGACAAGGCCCTGAAGAAAGTCTTTGAGCCGCTGCACATGTGCAATCAGGAGTGTCTCATCACCACCTTCCAAGACGTCTACTTCTTCACTGACAGCTTCGAGGAGGCCAAAGAAAAAATGAGGTGGGTGCTGGCCGCATTCCATGTTGGGAGATTGAGATTGCATCTTCCTCCAGTTGTTGGTTTTTTTTTGTTTTTTTTTTGTTTTTTGTTTTTTTTTGTTTTTTTTTATTTTTATTTTTATTTTTATTTTTTATTTTTTTTATTTATTTTTTATTTTTTTTGAGGCAGATTTTTTACATTTTTATTTTTTATTTTTTTGAGTTTGTTTGGAGACAGATTTTTTTTTTAATTTATAATGTAGAAGATCGCCAAATTATATGTATATTTCTTATCTATTTCTGAATGGATTTTTTTTTTCATAATCCTTTTCTTCGAAAAAAATCCAAAATTTGATTTGAAACTGTTACTAAAACGCTATTTCTGATTGGATAATTATTAAAAGAGAGTGATGATACGTGACATTCAATAGTGTATTTAACACAAAAAGCTACTATATTGTAAATAACGATAAAAAATAACATTAGTTTTCAAAACATAATATAAAAGCTTTTTCTAATCCAGCGTAGAAATAAACTTTTGAAAAAATTTATTTTAAAGTGCATATAATTTATATTGAAATAAAACTTTCAAAGCGTTTAAATAAAATTAAGCATGTACCGTTTTTAAATTATTTATATTTTTCAAGGGTTTTTCTAAGTTCATAGCGTCCCTTTGTTTTGTGTGTTAGTGGCGAATCTTATAACTCAATTTTAACCTACAATCCACATCTTTCTTGTTCGAAATCTCAAGACACCTTCTTCTAAGATGACAATGGAAGAATATCTTAAAATTCGTTTCTAATTAGACAAGTTAATTTAATTTAAAAATTACTATATACAGTTGTAAGAGGGGAGATAACACGATAAAATACTAGCGATTGCTTAATCAGAAGAGGCGTCGAAGCTGAACTGTTTGTCACGGTTGGCGGATTTCTTCCCTGATCATAGACTGCGAACTAATTAGCAACAGATAACTGAATTTTAGGGATCACCTACTTGTAATTTCTCATAAAAATATTTTAGCGACCAAAAATTTTTATTTTAAAAAAAAGCAACTTAGCTTTATTTTCTTATTTTCGTTGCTTGTAAAAGTTAGTTATTATAAACATTTTTTTTTTTTAAATTAGTGATTTGTTTATATTTTACAAATAAAACATAATATTCTTGGGTCTCTTTTTGAGAACATTCGGATGTCAAGTAACGATGCTCAAGCTATTCGTTCTAACATTACCTGCTTCGATAAGGTTAATCGAACGTCCGCTCTTTGTTGGAATCGAACCTAGCATGTATTAGTTTTCTTTCTCCGAAAATCAAACGGTAGTTCTTTGTCCCAAACAAACCTAAAATGTAATTGTTTCCATCCCTAGACAATTATCCAGAGACAATTAAATGACAGTTCGTTGTCCGAATCAAAGCTAAAATGTAATTGTTTCCATCCTCAGAAAATTATACATGGATAATCAAATGGTAGTTCGTTGTCCGAATCAAACCTAAAATGTAATTTCTTTCCATCTTCAGACAATTATCCCTTTACAATTAAAGGGCAGTTCGTTGTCCGAATCCAATCTAAAATGTAATTGTTACCATCCCAAGACAATTATCCCGAGACAATTAAAGGACAGTTCGTTATCAATGTTCCCTCTAAGGACCCAGAGTGTGTGTGCAAAAAATATGTTGTGTGCGCGGTGCTAAAAATGACTTGGGCAACTTTATATGTATGTTTAGGCTTGCAATTAAGCAGAGTAATGAAGGCGGGCATTTTGATATAAATTAATAGTATAATGTGTAGGACTAGTGAAACGTATGCAATTAAAAGAAGATACGAATCCCATCAAAATAAAATAAAATACACAACAGAAACTTTCAGAGTTATATTTAGACAACAGGCTATGTGGTCGACTTACTATGATAGTGTAATGCAATCATATGTTAATAATGTTAATACCATAACGGTAATACAAATACAACAGTTTAACATGTTAACCATTTTAAAAAGCTGACTTGAAAACAAAATTAGCTAACCTTTCAGGGGCATTTATTGCAATTTCTCGCGTCTAACCTTGCCTTGCTTCCACACCTTATATGCTTTGTTTAAATCCACATCCTCTCCAGCATTTAGATATAATTTAATTCGCATTAGATTCTCCAAATGTGTGACTTCAAGTCTATTTCGTGCTTGCACTTTAATGCTGTTCATAAGGCTAAAACCTCGCTCGCAATCAGCGCCGAATGCTTGAAAAGTACAGCATATGTTAATTAACTTTGCCAATGAGCTAAATTGTTCATCGTTTAAAGTAACTCCTGCGATTTCAGTTAGTGAATTTACTGAACCTGATTTGAGTTTTTCACTGATCTGAAATTTGAAGTCATTGTATTGCGTGATAAATGACTCTTCATTTGTTGTTTGTAACAAGTCTTTGCACTTAACGCACAGTTGTTTGATCTCTTTGACGCCAAACTCAAATGCACAATTTTTAAACCAGTATGATCAAAAGCTGACCAAAACTGCAGTTCATCTCCTGGAAACCTTACATTTAAATGATCGCAGACCTATCGTATAAACTGCGTGATTTGTCTTGTGTCGATTCCTACGTTTTCATTCAAAATTTTCTTGGCTTTATCATTCCAATATACATCTTCACTCAGGTATTGTGGTTCTAATTTGAGTATTTTAGAAATGCAAAATTGATGTGCTTCAATAGATGATAAATTACTTCGCTGCAACAACATTGATAGATTAGCTAATTCAGTTAATACATCATTAACGGTATACAGAGCAACTTGATACAGGGGATCTCTTAATGATTTCAAAATATAACAACAAACAGGATCATTGCAGTCTTGGACTTGTTCTTCACAGTAGGCAGCTAAAACATCAAGATTTCTAACCAAAGCACTGACAGCAAAGTGACGTAACAACCAACGAACTGCATGAATTGGTCGAAAAGAAATTACATCCATATCATGCATCTTGGCCAATTCTTCAAGTGCGCCCTTTTTAACCGAATATCGACTAAATAAAATGTAAACTGCGTAAGAGAACCTCAATATTCTTAAACAAATTAACATCTTTCCAAGCATCAGAAAGTGCCAAGTCTTATCGATGAGCAACACAGTGCTGTTCAACAAGATGGGAGACCTTAGCCTTCAGTAAAGCAGCTAATCCCTTCCTACGGCCTAACATAACCGATGCCCCGTCTGATGTTATCATTACCATGCGGTTCATGTCAAGTTGATGTTCAGTGTAGTACTGTGTTATGGCTGCCTCCAGAGCTGAGGCATCACATGCGGTAAGCTGAATTATTCCACCAAAAACGGTTTTGTAGAATAAATAATTGACTGGGCGAAATTTAAAATAAAAGATTAGCATTTTATGTACTGTTATGTCAGTACTTTCATCAACTATAAGCGTGTGGAACGATGCTACTCGAAGTTCTGCCAACTGTCTGGTATAGAAACATACTTCACCATGTGGTTATGAATCAGTTGTACCGACAGCATCGAGGCGTTCATCCTAATGGCGAGAAGAACATTATCCATTAGGATTCGAACTTAATCCTCGTTTGAACGCTGGCGCTCATTTTGTTCAATTCGTTCTTCTCGCTCAGTGTTAGTTTCAACCAGCAGACGTTTAAGACCAGTCCCATTTGAGCGGGTGTACAAAATCGCAACATTTTCTTCGTGAACACGAGACAAATGACGTTTACAGTAGTCAAGCTTCCATGATTCCCAACGCTTTCCTGTGACAAATTCGTTGTCTTTGTTGGTTTTGTTACAAGTACTAGCAGCACAGTCCAATCACTGAAGTCCACTTCAGTCCAATCTCATCTAAATATTCATAGATGCTTCCTAATTCAACTGAAACATTCTTAGAATCTGGCGTATCGGTTGTTACTTTAACTTTGAGCCATTCCAGTTTAAACGAATCTCTCGCTTTTTTTTTTTTTGCTGCATTATTTTACCGCTTGTTACACACATTTTTCTTTTCAACATTTTCAAAAAGCACTGAGTAGTAAACTTTTATTCCTTATTTACTAAACCAGTCTTTGAATACTGAAACAGTTCGATCCAGGTGCACGTAATAATCACGTATCGGTTGTTACTTTAACTTTGAGCCATTCCAGTTTAAACGAATCTCTCGCTTTTTTTTTTTTTTTGCTGCATTGTTTTACCGCTTGTTACACACATTTTTCTTTTCAACATTTTCAAAAAGCACTGAGTAGTAAACTTTTATTCCTTATTTACTAAACCAGTCTTTGAATACTGAAACAGTTCGATCCAGGTGCACGTAATAATCCCAAGAATTGGATATACAGTATATAAATCCTTAAACCAAACAGAGTAAAACACATCCACCTTAAGTAACCTAGAATTTGCATCTGACTTGAATAAACCGTCATAGTATCAAGGAGGTGGGTGGGGTTGGGAGATGGGGGAGGGCAGTGACAATAGAAAATAAAACCTTGCATGGTCAGCTACTAGCCACAATCCCTTTTACGGTCAGTTTTGGGGTAAACCATTAAATCAAGCAGAGGGAGTGTCACCCAGACATCACATCGGTACCCGCCCCGCTCAGTTGAGAGTTAAGTCATTAACTAGACCTGTGGTATGACAACCGAGGTCACCCCCTCCCCCAGGGGTCACAAGCTTTAAGTATCAGTTTGGTCGAGGCCCCAAAACACAAAGACTGTTCGTTTAACAAAACAGGTACTAAAAATGTCGCTTAATTCCATTTTTTTAGTGAATCAGGCTTGCCCGACGTTCTGATAATCTGTGCGCGGCATCAGAAAATGTCTGCGCGGCACATTTGAAAGTGCTGCGCGGCCGCGCAGCCGCGCAGCTTAGAGGGAACACTGTTCGTTATCCGAATCCAAACTAAAATGTAACTGTTTCCATCCTCAGACAATTTGCCGGGACCATCAAACGACCGTTCGCTGTCCGATACAACCCGTACACCGAGTCAGTCGACGTTCTGGACAGCACCCGGTGTATCGCCAGTGTGGTCAGCGAGCTGAAGGGCGACCTCTGCATCGTCAGCGACGCTCTCAAGCGCCTACAGGGCATGGAGATTTTCAAGTTCCAGGAGTCTACCCCTGTGCTAGGAAAAAACGGAGAAGCACACCAAGCCTCATGAAGAACTGTTACATCTACCTAACGAGAACACGTGTTTAAATTCTTGAAATCTCTATGTTAGATTATTTTTAACATATTATTCAAATTCGCTAATTAGCAATTTTAGCACACTATGTTAATCCGTTCCTAACGAGTCTGTTCCTAATGTCAAATTTTCGCCTCTTGTCGGCAATCTTCGGGTATGTCCGAGAAGGTTCGTGATTGTTTCCGGAACCGGATTTGATCTTCAGTAGGCCAAGAATTCAAGTCCAAATTATACGAAGTATAATGTTGTAATACTTCATTAATACATTAAGGTATTGCTAAAATTCTATGCTGTTTTATTAAAATATGGTTTTTATTAATTTTTAAACAAGATTTAATTATAAAGTTTTACTTCATTTCTTATAATTAAGCAGAAATATGATATAGGTTTTAATATTTTATTCGGTAATTAGCCGGCCATCCAATTAGGGTAGAACTTATTCCACGACAAAAGCCTTCAAGAAATTGGATCCTGGGTTCATTTCTCCAACTGCCCCAATACAATATGTTTTCACACATCGTAGCATGTAACACGTTCGCGTGTCAGGTCATATGACTGTCTCACGTGACTTTGTGCATACCAAGGGAAAACAAATTTTGTTAATGAAACATAGGAAACATTTTTTAATTGCGTTCATCACCTGCAAAAAAACTGATTCAGCGAATTCTATAAAATTCAAATGGGACGAAACGAAATATTTATTCTCTAAAAAGTATCATTCTGTTTAATTAAGTCTTTGCGTAATGGTGGGGTCCTGATTGTACTAATTATTAACAATAATGTTACATGTTTTCTTTGTTATGGGTTCTAAAATATCGTTTTTTTATCAACACGATCAGTGAATACTTTTCTCCAATTGAAAATTTAATTTATAATTCTTACAACTTATTTTATTTTTTTTTCTTCTGGTTCTGCTTATTCGTTGAGCCTTCAATTAATTAGGTTTGTCACAGATGCTCCTTTGTGTTTAAAATTTGCTATTTTGATTAAAGTCAATTAAGGATAAAAAATTATTAATTTCAATTCATTTCATTTTTGATGTTGGTAATTTTTTAGGGAGAAAAAGCTCTGAGCTTTGAAGGTAACTTTTTCGACTCAGTCTCTAAAGTTTTAGGATTTGTTTTTCGTTGTTTTTCTACATTTCATTATAAAATTGTTGATCCTAATTGTTTTAATTGTTGACGTAAAACAAACAGCCCCAACATGCCGTACAGCAAAGGTATAACCTAGTATTAACTTTGTCGAGTTATTTTAATTTGTTCCCATGTAAGCCCCAGTCTATTTGATTGTAATTTCATTAACAGGGGTAGTTGTGCGTGTTGTGTTTGTTACGTAATAAAAAAAACATTGTGAATTACATTGCAATGCCTCCTGTTAGCTTAAAGTCAGTAGTTATGGCCAAGATTATTATTCCAACGAAGAGAAAAAAAAAAATTATGCTTAGGTTTTTATAGGCCTATATATTTTATTGAATGCGGAGGATTAGCTTCAATCTATTAGGTAAAAAAAACATTACCTTGTATTAAAACTGCTAGATTTGTTTACAAAGGAATTCGCTATTTTATTTAGAACAGGAAATGTCTGGAAAATTATTAAATTTTCTAAAAACTTGACAAAATGAGATGGTTAATTTTGTGATTTACATGTTAATGCATAGGCTTACTGAATTACTAATTAATTTACGGTTTCATAATTGAGTAGATAGCGACCGTCTAACCAGTATTAATTCTTCTCTTCAAATTAGTTCGCATGGTACATTAAGTTTCATTTGTTGTCAAAATTACGTTTTAAAAAATTAAATGAAATATCGATTCCAACTCTAACTAGATTAAATTTCACGTTTCTTTTAAGAATATATCTGTGTTATCTTTGTCATTGTATTATCATGTTTTGTTGTATGCAAGTACTATGTAATAGTAAAGTTCCCAATCTAACCTGAAGGTCCATGGGGTAAGTGGAGATCACCTATTTCAGTGTACTCTGAAGGGATAATGGTCAGCACTTGGTGGATTTACTGATTTTAACCACGGTTGAACTCGAGACTTTTGGGTTAGCAGTCTAGTGCTCTATCGCTAGACCACGCCGTTCCACTGTCCAGCTAAGGCAGCAGTTATTTGAATTTAAAGTATTCTCGCCTAGATGGGTTGCTGTCCCCAGCTAACAAACCTCATTTGCCTGGCTTTTGTTGATTACTGAGTGTTATGTATTACGTACAATCTTTTTGTATCCAGTTTATTGTGAAAGATTGCATAGAGATGAGATCAAAATACACAGATTGCTGAACACAGGACATCAATGCAGTGTTTCTTTCAGACTTTTTTTCTCCAGGCGGGGGGGGGGGGGCGGACTAAAATTTCCGGGGGGGATGGGACGGACACTGTTAAAAGTATATATTTTCTATATAAATTCCATTTCGTTCGGGGGGGGGGGGGGGGGGGGGGGGGGGGGGCGGTAGACTTTCTTCGGTGGGGCTCGCCCCCCCCCCCGAAGAGATGCCTGGAAGAAACTCTGCATCAATGTCATCGGAATGGCTCTGGTTTCCCGAAGACGTCAGGTATTTCTCTAGTCTCAAACTCAGCAGATTTAAGATGGAATATTTCCAATCAATCGCTAAAACAAGCGGTACACAATTTTAGAACAAAAGAAACGTCGAAATTAATAAACATTTTTTTAATCAACTTGAAGTAAACGTACTATACAAATAATGCTCTGGAAAAAATGTTCGGTGTTTTATGGTGATTTTCATCAGGTGTAGAAAAATTAACACATGCATATTAAATACAATAGTTTCTACTAGTGGAAGATAATGGTATTTTGTACGACAACGCCAATATGTATTTTATGGTACAGTATCTAAATGCAATAAATAAAGCAAGATGGTTTATGAAAGCAACTATTGAGATCCGGTCAATGACTCCACTCCACTAAGACGTCCACGGCCCACCGTGTGTTGATGCAAGACGTCAATGACTCCACTAAACCACATGCAAGACGTCAATGACTCCACTAAACCACATGCAAGACGTCAATGACCCCAATAAGCCACCTGTAAGACGTCCACTATTCCCCGTGTGTTGATGTAGAAGTTTGGTATCAGGACCTTACATCCCCCCCCCCCCTAATCACAACTTGACAAGACGTCAATGACTCCACTAAGCGAACTGTACGACGTCAATGACTCCACTAAGTCACCTGTAAGACGTCCACGATTCCCCGTGTGTTGATGTAGAAGTTTGATATCAGGACCTTACATCCCCCCCCCCCAAATCCCAACTTGACAAGACGTCAATGACTCCACTAAACCACATACAAGACATCAATGACTCCACTCCACTAAGCCACCTGTAAGACGTCAACGACTCCACTAAACCACATGCAAGACTTCAATGACTCCACTAAACCACATGCAAGACATCAATGACTCCACTAAACCACATGCAAGACGTCAATGACTCCACTAAACCACATGCAAGACGTCAATGACTCCACTAAGCGACCTGTAAGACGTCCACGACACCCATTGTGTTGATGTAGAAGTTTGGTATCAGGACCTCACCCCACCCCCCCCCCCAACCCCCACCCCACCCCCACTAAGCCACTTGTAAGACGTCAATGACTCCACTAAGCCACATGTAAGACGTCCACGACACCCATTGTGTTGATGTAGAAGTTTGGTATCAGGACCTCACCCCACCCCCCCCCCAACCCCCACCCCACCCCCACTAAGCCACATGTAAGACGTCCACGACCCCCCGTGTGTTGATGTAGAAGTTTGGTATCAGGACCTTACAGTGCCGTGACCACAGTCCGTCTTCCTCCAACCTTCTCATCTCTTTCTCCCAAGACTTGCCGTAGTTGGTGCTCAGTACGTCCGAGCTGTATGCAACTATACAAAACCTGTAATGGTCAGGATAAATCATACATGATATATAAGATGGTGACTAAGAAGACGCGCAATAAAAAAGTGAAACTGAAAATAGCACACAATAAAAGTGCGTATAGGAATTTTTTGTGTTTGTTCGAAATTTTAAAAACGTTAAATAAATAGGAAGTGATCTCCCCTAAACTTTCTCGTATATTCTAATATAACATGTAGGTTGGGATGGCACTTGTAGCATAATAGGGCTAAGGAAATATAGAAGGTCGTAACAAAAACGCTAGTTTGTTGTTCTTTCTTGATTTTCTTTCTCGTTTTTTTTTTTGTTTTTTGTTTTGTTTTGAGAAGACACATAGGGGTGAAATTTTTCTAGAATATGCTTCATGAGAATATCCCTTTATAAAGCACTAATTTCCCGCTCCCTTATACATATTTTCAATAGAATAGAACGAAGTAGAAAAAATTGTGCACCAAAAGAAGCATAAAAGTTATCAAATTCTTATGTAATTAAATCTACAATTAAAAATGTAAGAAATGACGTTGAAAGAATAAAAAGCGAAATACACGTACACATGAAATGCTAACTGGCAACCCAAAAACCTACTCACCCGCCTGATTTAGTAACACGTATAATTTCTGCAAGTGCTGACACAGGAAGATGGTTTTCCAGGACTGCCCCGGATGTAACAACAGCATCATAGAAGCCTAGGGGAGAAGTGGAGGCTCAATGTCTTTGTGGTACATATAATGGGAACAGAAGGTTAGTAGTTGTGCATCTAACTTCGGGAAAATAATTTAATAAAATTAAAATTTAATTTTTAAAATGCTAAAATAGTATAGAAAAGTAACAAAATTAGTTCTTTTTTAAATAATTTGTTACGTGAATTTCCATCAAGTTAAGGATGGCCATCTGTCTTTGATTGGGAAAAATGCACAGTAAAAAAAAATGTTATCTGGGTGAACAGAAGGTTAGAATTTGTGCATCTAACTTCGGGAAAGTAATTTAATTTTAAAAAAAACTTAATTTTTAAAATGCTAAAATTGTATAGAAAAATAACAAAATTAGTTCGTTGTTTTTTTTTTAATAATTTGCTACGTCGATTCTCATCAAGCTGAGAATGACCATCCGGCTTTGATTAAGGAAAATGCACAATTAAAAAATATAATCTGGGGATTTTAAAGTTACCCGGGCCTCTTGGACGCAGCCCATCCAACCCTTAAAACGATTAAATGTCTTGCTTCAATTTCGGCACATAAACAACTCACCGTTTTTAACCGGAAGTCCGGTGTCGTCATTGATGACGCTGCAAATAAACTTGGAGTAGACCTTCTTCCTGCGGCAGACGTCCAGCATGGCACACGAGCCGTCGTGCGCGTGCACGTTCTCAAAGCCGTGCCTAGACAACTCTTCTCCCACCTGCCCTGTGGGTCAAAGGTCAAGTTCAGTTTTATTGGTTTGGATAATAACTAACCTAGCTTTCCGCCAAAAAAAGACTATAAAATAAAAGTTCCTAATGATTTTTCTGCTTATTTTAAATATGTCCTAAAATTATTTAAAATAAAATGCACACAAACAATTTTGAATAACTTTTTGAAGATTTTCGAATATATCCTTAAAAACACAAAATTTTAATAATTTATTAAAGTTATATAAAATTTAGGGTCAGGGCTAGCTTTATTGTGAAATATTTAACAGTAAAACTACTGTTTCAACTCATACCTGAGAAGCAGCTTTTAGTATTATTATTTGTATAGTATAGTATTCTTATTATTTGTTTTAAAAAAATATTCGGCGATGTAATTATAAAATAATACTTCTGTTTTAAACGAAGCACCTTACTTTGAATTATACAATCGTCTACATAAACAGAACTTAACTTGTTGTAGGATAGCCATTTATCATGTCATTTAATACAGCTCCACGAAAACTACTGCTCATCTAAGGGTGGGACCTACCAGTGGCGTAGCGAGGTCGGGTGTCACCCGGTGTGGCACTTAATGGTGTCACCCCCCCCCCCCCCCAGAGGCGTTGCGACCCTTCCCGGGGACAAACTTTCATGTTTTTGATTTGCACCCCCCCCTCTCTCAAACTTTCGATTTGCACCCCCCCCCTCAAGTTTTTTATTTACACCCCCCCCCCCATCAAAATTTCGATTTGCACCCCCCCCCTTCAAGTTTTTCTCTATATATTTCGCTATTTTTTGCCTTGGTGTCCCCCCCCCCTAAATGGTGTCACCCGGTGCGGTCCGCACCCCCCGCCCCCACCCCCCCCCACCCCCCCTCGCTACGCCCCTGGGACCTACACCGAACATACGGCCCCACTAAAGCTACGGGTTATCTCAGAGTGGAACTTACCAGGACCAGATGCCAAGTCTAACACCCGAACATATTCCCTGGCATGCACGAAAATGCCAGCCAACATCTGCGCACAGTAGACCGGTGCCTTGTACTCCATAGCTTGGGCGTTCTCTTCATACTTCATCACGTTCTCGGGGGTGCTGTAGTCTGTGAAATGGAGGGGAGGGAGATTCAACACGAGTTTAAAACGTTTTGTTACATGTTTTATAATATGTAAACCGTATAACATTGTCTTGAATTAAATCATCTTGCTACGGTACTATAGATCGCGGTTTGCGACCAGTAGACATCGCTTAAATGGGGGGGGGGGGGCGTTTTTAATGTTTTCTTTATTTTTGCGATGTCTTTCTACACCATAACAGTTGCCCTTGCAGAAAACGTATCAAATAAAGTTTTTAGTTTAAAAGAATTAGTGTACACAAGAACGTACATACGAACCAACAGACGTACCAACAAACAGATGCACCTACATATGTACCAACATATGTTCCAACAGATGTAACAATAGATGTATCTGCAGATGCACCTTTAGATATACCAACAGATGTACCAACAGATGTACCAACAGATGTACCAACAGATGTATATATGTACTAATAGATGTACCAACAGATGTACCAACAGATGTACTAACAGATGTACCAACAGATGTACCAACAGATGTACCAACAGATGTACCAACAGATGTACCAACAGATGTACTAACAGATGTACCAACAGATGTACCAACAGATGTTCCACAGATGTACCAACAGAGGTAACTGCAGATGCACTAGAAGATGCACCTGCAGATGTACCGACAGATGTTCCACCAGATGTACCAACAGATGTACCAAAAGATGTACCAACAGATGTACCAACAGATGTACCAACAGATGTACCAACAGATGTACCAACAGATGTACCAACAGATGTACCAACAGATGTACCAACAGATGTACCAACAGATGTACCAACAGATGTACCAACAGATGTATATATGTACCAATAGATGTACCAACAGATGTACCAACAAATGTACCAACAGATGTACCAACAGATGTACCAACAGATGTACCAACAGATGTACCAACAGATGTACCAACAGATGTACCAACAGATGTACCAACAGATTTACCAACAGATGTACCAACAGATGTACCTGTAGATGCACCTGCAGATGTACCTACCTTTGATGCAGCGTTCGATATTAGCAGCCTGGCTGCTCACGTATCTGGTTGCATCAGAACGAGGCTGTGAATACAACGTAAACATTTTCTCAACTTTTCCATAAAAATTCAAAACTTCAGCAAAACGATAATTTGACTTATTCTTCAGAGTGTATTCGCTGTCAGTACCAGAATCTCAACAAACATTGGCGAATCGAGGCTGTATTTATAGCGTTAGGAGATTTAATACCGAAGTTTGATTGCATTTGACATTTGACATACAAAGTAATGCCGTTATGAAAGTATTAGGTCATTTTATTTATTTGTTTATTGTAAATAGATATCACAATAAAAAAACAATAAAATATGTGTTTTATTGTCATGAACAGAACTTTGAACTTTAAACTAGATTCTCAGAACATTTGATGGAAAACTTTTGCATTTTTAAACATCAATTCTCGCTTTTTACCCTGACTTGTTGAGGAAACACGAGCGTTGCACGCTCTGATCACTAAGGTCATTAAACGGTAGTCCATTTTTTAAACTGCTAATAGCTGCCTCTAAATGAAACAACCAATGAGAAGTGAGTTTCCGCTATCTGCATGTTCCCGCCATGATCAACGTATGCAATCAAAACAATGTTTTTAAGCCATTGTTTTAAATTATTTAAGAAATTAAATAAATCTTAAGAAATATTGTCTTAAGGTTGAAACTTGAAATTACATTATTTATACTTTGCCCTTATTCGACAACATCATTGTGTCGGCTAAACTAAAGGCTAAAAACCCATAGGACAATTTGAAATAGTTCGGTTTTTTTTTTATACCGCCATTATATCTGGGTGTGCAATATGACTAGGAATGGGGCGGTGTGGTTGGGTGGTAGAGTGCATGAGTTCTAACCGAAAGTTCGGATCCCGGGATTGAGTTTGAAGGGCTTCTCTTATTCCACCCAGCTCATATGGGTACCTGACCCCACTTTAAGGAAAGGCGGATGGGTTTAGGGCTGACCACATTATCCATTCATATACCAAGGACACAGAAACAAGCAGTATATTTTTTTCAGACATTTTCTCTGGGGGAGGGGGAGATGAGAGTCACTTGAAAATTTCGGGGAGGCTACGCCGGGTGAGACCAAGACAAATGATTGCAAGATATATAGAGTATGTGTGTTTTTTGCTAGTTCAATATGTTAACAGAGTTTCTTCCAGGCATCTCTTCGGGGGGACGAAGTCCCCCCCCCCCCCCCCCCGAAAGTTTTTTACCGCCCCCCCCCCCCCCCCGAACGAAATGAAATTTATATAATTTATATAGAAAATATATACTTTTAACAGTGTCCGTCCGCCCCCCTCGAAGAAAGTCTACTGCCCCCCCCCCCCCCCCGAAAATTTCAAGTGCCCCCCCCCCCCCCGGAGAAAAAAGTCTGGAAGAAACACTGTATGTTAATAACATAATGACAATCTCGACAAGGGAGGAGGGGTGGGGAGTGTGTGTGTGGGGGGGGGGGAGGAGCTGACACAATGACGTAAACATGCAAACTCTAGTGAAAACAATTTCACCAGCTGTTTTAACAACCGACTATAGATAAACATCATTAGTATTAAATGTGAACATATTAAAGGTTTAACCGGGGGAGGCGGGGTGACACCATGTGTTGTCGTACCGGGTGACACCCGACCTAGCGGCGCCACTGATCTTGACGTAAATACACCGTTAAAGGAAAATTTCGGTAGCACTTTGGTGATAGCAGAAATTTCTCTGTAAGTTTGGTAACAAAATAGAAAAGAACATGTGGCCGTGCGTCAGAAATTTAATAGGACAATTTTAGATTATGAATGTCCTTGACTTGAGACAATGAAAACAAACTTTGCACGAAAAAAAAAATGAACTTGCACTTGAAATAGCACGCGCCCGAGTTTGGACTAGAGGGGCGTGGAGTTCGCTAGTTCTCGTTGATAGATAGTCAAGTTCAGAGTAGCTCACGGTATCAGAGTATGGCTAGTTCTGATTGCGAGACATGGTAGTTTATCGTGGCTTAAGATTATAGAGTAGCCTATGGCATGTTCTGATTGCGAGACATGGTAGTTTATAGTGGCTTAAAATATTAGAGTATGGAAGGTTCTGAATGCGAGACATGTAAGTTTATAGTGGCTTAAAATAGATTTTAGTTTTCTCCATGAAAGAATATATATATATATATATATATATATATATATATATATATATATATATATATATATATATATATATATATATATATATATATATATATATATGTCTGTGTATCTGTTGTTTATGTGAGTGTGCTATGTAAACTGACCTATTGTACTGCTAGCAAAAGCTGTTATCTTTTATTTGTTTGTTTTAGTTGTTATTTGATTATTTTTATCATATCGGGCTGACGTCCTAACCGGATTTTTTTTTTCCAAAGTTGACATGTTTGATCAGCGTTCGAAATGTCAGCGGTCTCTCGTGTTAAGTGACCTGTCTACAGAGGCGTAGCGACTCGTTCCGGCGCCCGGTCGAACTATCAAATGTGCGCCACAAGGGCAAAAATTACGCCCCCCCCCCCCCACCATCATTTTACAAGTCACTATCCCTTGACAGTTTTTATTATTATTTTTATATCACAAATTTGAAAACAGTTAAGTCATTCAGGAAAGTTAAGTAGTTGTCTATTTTATTAACTTCAACTGAACATCATTCTGTAATGCGGCTCAAAATTAAGTTTTAAATTATTATTTTTGCCCAGTTTGGCGTACCCACCCAAGCCCCCCCCCCCCTATCCTCCTTCGGGTTGGCGCCCCTTGCACCCTCCCGCCTCTGTCTGTCTACTGTGAAGACAAACCTGTATCAGTTAACTACTTGTCAATCCCATCAATAATCACTTACCAACAATTATGGAAATGATGCAACCACCTGAATTGATTTCATTTCGATGCATGAACTGTGCAGTGCACGTATATTAGAATACAGAATTTCAGAGGCGTCGCGAGGCGGGAGCCGGGGGGGGGGGGGGGGGGTTGCGGACCGCACCGGGTGACACCATGACAAAAAATTGAAAAATGTATCGTAGAAAAATAGTTAATTTATGATTAGAGTTAAAAAGTCCGATATGGGGGAGGGGGTGACACCTGGACGTAAACCTGCCAATTATAGAACTGTGAGCACTATGCGTGTATGTTTGCATTTAAGTTGTGTTTATGTTATGAGTGTTGTGTTTGTTTTTTCGTTTGTGTTTTGTTGCCTTTGTGTTTGCATTGTGTTAGTGTTGTCATTTGTGTTTTTATTTGCGTTAGTTTTTTTTTTCTTTTGTGTTTGTGTGTTGCTTTTGTATTTGCATTGTGTTTGTGTTTTCTTTTGTGATTGTGTTGTGTTTAGTTTTGCTCTGTTCTGTT